GACAAAAATAATTAATTATTATATTAATTAACTTATATATTATTTAATATATTAAAAATTAATAATATTTAAAAACATTTTTATTTTTAATAAAAAATTATAATTGATATGTAAATTAATATTATCAAAGTTTTGTCAAATTTATAGCTAATATATAAAGATTTATTTATATTCTAATTTACAAGTTAATTATAATCTTTTATTAATAATAAAATTATTTTAGATCCTAACTTAATCATAATTAATTAGATTTTGTCTTTAAATTAATTGTTACTTAACAATTATTTTTGGCGTTTTTTAAGGATGAATTAATATATAATTTCATACTGGGCCCATGCCACCTTAGTGTCTCTTGATGGATAACTATGCCAACATAGCCATAATTGGTTAATCTTTTCACAATCATCTATGCAACAAACCACTTTGTTCTTTTGAGTGGATTTGAGAGAGTGAATTTGAGGAGATTTGAGAGGATTTAAAGATAAATTTGTTTGTCGTTTATTTGAGTGAATTTGGAAGTAAACGAGAGTGAATTTGAAAATAATTTTTTTTAATTTGTCACGTCAATACAATTTTATACTAATTCTCACAAATTTTATTTCCAAATTCACTCTCATTTACCTCCAAATTCACTCAAATAAATGACAAAAAAATTTATCTTCAAATTCTCTCAAATCCCCTTAAATTCACTCCCTCAAATCCACCTTGACTTTCTGACACCACAATAAATAACCACAACTCGGTATCATCTTTCATGAATTAATACATAATTTCTTAAGGATGAATTAATATATAATTTCTTGAATATTTTGAAAATCTTATATAGATTTTAATACTTCACAAGTTTTTAGTTGGGTCTCTGAACGCATCTTCCTTATGATTTCATTAGGTATAAGGGACTCAATTAATGGTTTTTAAGATGTAGAACTTTCTTAGATAATTATTAATTTTTCCAGAATTCAGGATTTTATTAATATAAACGTTTTTTAAGTATTCAAAAATTTATTACTACATAATTAAACTAATGACCAAAAATTTATATTTAAATATTCGTGAATAAAATTTGTAGTGAATAGATGTTAACTATATTTCTTATCAGATAATATTTTAATATTTGACTATAAACAAATGAGACATGAATATCATATTACTTATATTTACGAATATTTATTATTGTAAAAAATTAAAATTTAATTTATATTTATTAAGTTAATTTTAATTAAAATTAAAATTAATTTATATTTTTTAGATTAAATTTATTTAAAATTAAATTAAATTTATATTTAATTTAATTTATATTATATTTGTAATTTAATTTAATTTAGATTTTATTTTAATACGTAAATATTTGTGGATGTTTTTTAAACCGATGTAAGTAATAAGACTAATAACAATTAGATTTTTCTAAATTATTTAAAGATATTTTCTTTGAACGGAGTCTACCATAGTTGTGATTAAAGATCCAAATGATTTAAACTGCATTAACATCCATTTTTCTGATACATACGATAAAGAAATCCGAGACTGTACAAAGAAACAGAAACAGAAACAGTGAGAAATAAACAACAGCGGTTGGAATATACAAGAATATCTACCTCGTATCTCTACATGCATGGAATGTACACAGATGTCAGAGAAAGATGGAGGGAAAGGAGTTTGTGAGGGATTTGGTTTTGGCACAGAGTGGTGATGATGATGATGTCTAACAAGGTTTGCCCTCAAAGCATCTTAGGGCCCCAGCGTAGCGACTGAGCCTTACTACATACGAACCAGGCCTGGAGGACACCATGTCCTTCTTTGTGAAGGGTCTGTTCTTTAAAACGGGCCCACTTTCTCTGAAATAAGCTCCATTCACTAGCTCATCCCTGATTGATCTCCATTGCCAGTTTTTCCACTCTTGTTCTGTTGCGTAGGTCCTCTTTGTTACCTTCACCAACACCAATCAATTTCATTTTGCATCTCATCACAAAGTCTTCAACTATATGTGTGTATAATATAAATTCATGATGATACCAACATGAGAAAAATGATAGATTTGAGTATATATTACCTCTTTAGCATTATTGTCGTTGGGGGCTGTGAATCGGTTGCCCTCACTAATAATTGTAGGATGCTTGCTACCACCAATGGCATACATTTCCCAATGAGTGTAGTCGTTGTTAACCACATGGAAAAAACCAAACCTGCATCTTGGCATTCTTTGAACTAATCTCTTACCAAAGTGGTTGAATAACAGTGTGATCTGCATTAGCTTATCACCATCATAGCTGTCACTCGCACCAAACAGCATCACCTGAATCATATATAAAATTTACTCTCCATCTCATTATAATTACAACTATTTCTAAATGTATTTTAGAACTAAACAAAGTAATAACCTCATTGTGGTCCGTGAAGTGGCAATTGGATATGGTAATGGCAGTAGAACCCATAATGGCATCGATCATTCCGTCTTTGCAGTTTCTCATGGAAACATGGTCGATCCAAACATAGCTAGAGCCAAAGATGGAAATTCCATCACCATCACTCTGAGTTCTTTGACCGTAGTGGGTCTCAGAATCTCTGATAAGTCCACCATTGCCAGAATTAATGTCAAAAATTTTGATTCCATGGATGATGACATTCTTGACGAATTGGAGGGTAAAACCAGCACCATTCATAATGTAGATATCAGCTCCTCTTCCATCAATGGTCTTGTCACTTGCCACAATCAGCTCCTGGCTCAGCCTAATGGTCATGCTATGAGAAAAATAGATCCACAAGGGTGCAGTTCTTGTAACCGCATGCCTAAGGGTACCAGGAACAGGATTCACCATGTCATTATCTAAGTTACTCGTTACCTCATAAAACGAACCTTTCTGTCCTCCAACAGTG